TCTTCTTTTCTTTCTCCTCTTGATGCTACCACTTGTTTACATCTAAACAATTTATTGTTGGTTCCTTCTATTACTAATAATTTGATCAGTGTGAGTAAATTTGCTAGAGACAACTCAGTCTTCTTTGAATTTCATCCTAATGTCTGTTATGTCAAATCTCAGGTTTCACATAAAGTCTTACTTCAAGGAACTGTAGGAGCTGATGGTCTCTATTGTTTCTCTGACATTCATTTTACTTCACAAACTGATCCAGTGACCAGTAATAGTTGTCCTCCAATTTCGTGCCTGTCTACAGTTACTGATTCTTGTAATTCTCAGTCTGATCGTGCTCCAGTTTACAGTAGTGTTGATTGTAAAAATAGTTGTGTCAACACTGAAAATAGGACATTGTGGCACTGTCGTTTAGGACATCCACACTTTGATTCTCTCAAAAATGTATTGAAAACTTGCAATATTCCTTTAAGTAATAAAGTAGCTGGAGAATTATGCTCTTCTTGTTGTGTTGCAAAGGCTCATAGACTACCCTCATCACCTTCTACCTCTCACTATAAATTTCCTTTTGAATTGGTGTTCAGTGACTTATGGGGACCATCACCCTTCAAATCTACTCTTGGTAATAACTACTATATATCATTTGTTGATGCCTGCACACGGTATACTTGGATCTATCCACTTAAACAAAAATCTGATGCTATTTCCATTTTTAAACAGTTCCATGCAATGATTAAAAACCAATTTCAAACACCCCTTAAGTCATTTCAATCAGATTGGGGTGGGGAATTCATAATTTTTACCCAATATCTAAAACTTCACGGGATCCATCAATAGAGTCACTTGTCCTCATACTCATCACCAAAATGGTGTTGTTGAAAGAAAGCATAGGCATATTGTTGAAACAGGTCTTGCATTACTTGCACACTCTTCCCTTCCCATGATCTATTGGGACTATGCCTTTACCACAACCACATATCTCATAAATAGATTGCCCTCTTCCTCTATTGATTTTACTGTTCCATACACTAAACTGTTCCATAAAAATCCAGATTATACCTCCCTAAAAGTTTTTGGGTGTACATGTTTTCCTTTGCTTCGGCCTTATAATAAGTATAAATTGGAATATCGATCAAAGGAATGTGTGTTTCTTGGTTATTCTTCAAACCATAAAGGTTACTTGTGTCTTAGTCCTGATGGCAGAATTTACATATCCAAGGATGTACTCTTCAATGAACATAGATTTCCTTTTACCTCTTGGAAAAACAATACATCCTCTCCCACTTTACAACCCACCTCTACCTCTGTTCCCCTTACTATTCTTTCACCACATTTATCCTCTCCACCAAATGCCCCATTTCTGCCTCAGCCCTCTTCCCCATTACCCATACAGTCACTGCACACCAATGATTCTCCTCCTTCAAGTCAGCATACACCCCCCTCTCCTATTATTGGAGATCAATCCCCTGTTAGACAGCCCGTTGATGTCAGTCCGTTGATGTCAGTCCGATTCCTTCTCCATCCTCTCCAGTTCACACTTCATCTAGTTCTTTATCTTCCACATCCTCACCTTCTGAGTATGTCCCATCCGGTTCCCTTCACACCTCTTCTCCTCCTCGTTCTATTATTACCAGGTCCAAAACTATGGCTAGAAATTTGGCTCTTCTCACTCATCTTGAACCAACTACAGTCAAACAGGCTCTCAATAGTCCTCATTGGTTAAAGGCTATGGAAATTGAATATGATGCTTTACAATCTAACAAAACTTGGTCTCTTGTTCCTTTACCTGTTGGCAGAGAAGCTGTTGGATGCAAATGGGTTTTTAAAGTAAAGGAAAATTCAGATGGCAGCCTTAACAAATATAAAGCAAGGTTGGTTGCTAAAGGGTTTCATCAAAGACCTGGTTTGGATTATACAGAAACTTTTTCCCCTGTCATCAAGCCTGTAACTGTTCGGACTATGCTCACAATTGCTCTTACCTATGGCTGGACACTAAGACAGCTAGACATCAACAATGCTTTCTTAAATGGAACTCTACAAGAAGAGGTGTACATGCAACAACCTCCTGGGTTTGAAAGTGATGACAAGTCCTTAGTTTGCAGACTACATAAATCCCTCTATGGTCTCAAACAAGCCCCAAGGGCTTGGTTTGACAAACTCCAGGATACTTTGCTCTCATTTGGTTTTCAAGGCAGTAGATGTGATTCTTCTCTCTTCATTTATAATTCTGGTCCTCAACGCATTTATATGCTTGTTTATGTTGATGATATAATCATCACTGGGAATGATGACAACTTCATACAGTCCCTAATCTCTCGGCTCCATTCCATTTTCTCTCTCAAAGATTTGGGTGCCTTGGACTACTTTTTGGGAATTGAAGTCAGAAGACAGTCCCCTGGATCTCTCTTCCTTACTCAAACAAAATACATTAGAGAACTTCTTCACAAAACTAATATGTTTGAAGCTAAGGCTATCTCCAGCCCATGCCCTCTAGCTGCAAATTATCCAAGTTTGGCTCCAATTACTTTGAGGATCCTGGCTTATATCGATCAGTGGTTGGAGCTCTCCAATATGCTACCATTACAAGACCTGAAATCAGTTTCTCAGTTAATAAAGTGTGCCAGTTCATGAGCCAACCTCTTGTGGATCGTTGGAAAATAGTCAAAAGAATTCTCAGATATCTCCAAGGTACTATATCCTTTGGTCTCTCTCTGACTGCAGCTCAAACACCTCACTCTGATGCTCTATTTCACTTGGCAGCCTTTTGTGATGCTGATTGGGGTAGTGATCCTGATGATAAGAGGTCTACCTCTGGTGCTTGTGTATTTCTAGGTCTAAATCTCATCTCTTGGTGGTCTAAGAAGCAGCCTCTTGTAGCAAGATCCACGGCTGAAGCTGAATACCGCAGCATGGCTTTAGTTTTCTCTGAAATTCTGTGGCTACAATCATTATTCCAAGAATTGAATCTGCCTCTTTCTGTCCCTCAGGTTTACTGTGACAACCTGAGTGCTGTAGCACTTGCTCATAATCCCATTCTTCATGCTCGCACCAAGCATCTTGAGTTGGATCTTCATTTTGTACGTGAGAAGGTTTTACTCAAACAGATCACTGTTGCTCATGTCCCTGCTTCAGACCAGATAGCTGACATCTTTACTAAGCCACTCTCTCCAGATCCCTTTGCTCTTTTTCGTGCCAAACTCACAATCCTGGATTCTGCCTTGCAGCTCCAGCCCTGATGAGTTTGTGGGGGAGTATTAGCGTAGCTTTCTGCTATAGGTCTCATTGTATTAGACTCTAGCTTATATAAATGTGTTAGTGTACTTCTGAGTTAGTTAGAGTGACAGCTGTAAGCTAAGTGTGTGACAGCTGTAAGCTTCAATGTTGAGTCATCAGTTTGTAGTTTGTATATATATCATCTTGTATCTGAAACGTATTGTAACTTTTCATTCTTCAATAATACAAATGGGTTCTTTTCAGATTACTCTCTTTTCTCTCTCTCTCTCTCTCTCAGATCTTCTTCTCTCTTCTTCATGCAACTCTCAGATTTCTAATAAACTCCATGTTATCTTCTTTCTGTGTCAACCATCTCTCTCAAGTGTCTTACTTTGTATCTTAATCAACTGTCATCTATTTTCCGTAATGTCCCTCTGGCAATGTTCCTAGCCTCTAGACTCTAGCCACCATCCTAGCCTCCAACCGTTGTCATTTGCCATGTCTTCGACGAGGTTTTGCCACCATCTCACGGCGGTCCTTTTTGTCTAAGACCCACTGGCATCCTCCTATCGACGTGCCTACACGCTCCACCTTTCTCCAAGGTGTTTGAAGCACTTTTTTGGCGTGTGAGCCACCACAGACCGACTCACCTTTGCACCCTCTACCTTGATCTGATGTTTTCGGGTTGTTGGTCCATCGTTAGGTTTTTTCTGGCGAGCCCATCAACTTTTTCGGCAATCAAAATTTTTTCTTGGCGAGGTTTTTAAGATTGAACAACAAATTTTCGTCGTGCCAACAAGACGAGTCTATTCTTCCAAGGCTCAGTTCCAGAAGCCTTCTTACGTAGCCTCGCGAAAACTTTTTCCTTTTCCCTTTGGTAATGTTTATGTGCATTTATTTCTTTTTGGTGTGACCCATTGCCAAACCTAGCTTCCTTTGTTTCTCTCAAGGATATTCGGAAGCTCAAGGTATCCATTTGCAGCAATTATGTCAATACTCCACTAAGTTTGCATGTATTGAAGCTAGGAGATGCTGTTATTGATGAACTTAGAGAAGTTTTAGTTCTTTTGTCCCTGCTTGCTAGGACATTTCTGCTGATGGTTATTATAATGAAGTCTCTCCTTCATTGGTTATGCAATTTGACAACCAGCTCTCTAAGTTTATTGTCATTCTAACCACCTTCCTGAGTTGTTTTTCCAATAGTTTTCATCTCTTTGACATCTGAAGCATCCCTGGGTTGACTTTGCAGCCATATTTTTGGATCCAAATTTATTATTCGGTTAATCTTTTTATCTATAAGGGTTCATTTGTAACAAGCTTAAAGCTTTAGTAAACTTTAGCTTGAGGGGGAGTGTTCAAAGTACTGAATATAGGTTGTTAAGTATTGTTATAGTTAGTCTATATAATAGAGCCTTCACAATGGTATTAACACATGTGGATTTAAACATTTGCCTTTTGTTTCAATGTTATTCAACAATTCTAATATGAGGCCAAGAACATAAATCCAACAATTCAAACTACGAAGAACTTATCCCTATTTATAGTAATATTAGACTCCAAATCCTAGTCAAATCAAGAAACAGTTTATGAAATATAAAGAAATAAGGAAATTATTCCTAAGAGATCATATAAGATACTCTAAATTATTCTAAGATACAACGAGATGTTATGAGATATTTTTCATATGTTATAGCACCCTCAATATACAAACTTCTTGTTTTTTATTCTTCAGTGAATGTTGCTTTCATTTTTAACTTGGGCAAGATAGGTTATAAATATTTTTTCGATTTTGGCAGGCACCTTGTTTTGTATTTGTAGATGAAATAGATGCTATTGCTGGAAGACACGCTCGAAAGGATCCACGGAGAAGGGCAACTTTTGAGGCTCTTATTGCACAGCTTGATGGGGAGTAAGTTATTACTTTTAAAGGGGATTTTATAAGACATTTGAAGTTTTACATCATGGGAATTTATATTATCAAAATTATTTCTTGTTTGTTGGTTTGAGCCCTCCAATGGCGAGGGATAAGCATTTTCTTGCATTATAGAACAATCGTTTAAAGTGAAATTGTATTGTTAGACCAAATTAAGGTTGAACAGATAATTGGTATGAGACAGGGCCTTTCGGACTAGTGTCCTATACTTCCGATTCTTGAAGAGAAGTTGGCTTTTATGGTCAGGATATGTTGTTTGTGATTTTTTTTTTCTTCTGCAAGTTGGAGTTGATTGTGAGATATTTAACCATTCACGAACCTATACCTGAGTTGGTCATTTCTTGACATGGTCAAATAAAGTTGAATTTCAGTGCAAGTTTGTAGTAGACCCATCTCAAGCCAAAGGCCTCTTGTGTGAGGGAGCTTGTTACATTTAAGAGATCATTCTTGATCCTCTGCCTGAAAAGCTTAAGTTTTTAACAGAATTGCTCCTTGACAGTCAGGGCTAAGGAGAATGCAGAAAAGAAGACAGGTTACTATAACAACGTATGCTGAATACAATTCAGAAGTTTAACTGATGCTAAGTGTTGAATTATGAATAAAAACATTAAACCCCAACTAGTGAAGATAGGGGTGAGGCCAATCTTGTATACAACCTTACCCTTACATATTGCAAAAGATTATTTCCCAGATTAGAACCAGTGATATTTCAATCACAAAGGAGCAACTTTACTATTGCTCTTGGTTCGCCCTTTTTTGGTGTTGAATTATGAATCCGTGTGTATAAACGACATAGCAGAGTTCTGATTTTATAACCAAAGAATGAGTAACAACAAACATGTTTTACATAGAATGAACCTAGATAGTGAATATGTCTCTATACATATAATCAATTTATACATGGTTTTAAACACTCCCCCTCAAGCTAAATCACATAAATAATATGCACCAAGTTTATTATATATATAACTTCTTTGAGGACCCCTCAAAGTCACAATAAAGACATCTGTCAATTGATCTTTTGGATTGACAAAGCGACCGATGATATCCTGATAAGATTTGCTACCACTGTTTTCACCTTCCCCTTTTATACCTGAGCAACAACTCTGCGCTTGGAATGGGTTTGCTCCACTGCATTCCATATCCCCTTTGCAGTAGTCAAACACATTCAAGTGTCACTAATTTCAAGAATCATCAAATTCCACAACCATGACATAATCATGGAGTTTTCATTCCATGCTTCAATGTTGGAATCTACTGACTTAGTCCTAGTACCCGTGAAGTGACTAACTCCCCTTTCCTTCCAATATGTGGTGCAAATAAGTTGTGACAACTTTAGATAATTCTTTCCATTCAGCCCATATCTAGATTAAATGTTCTGCAATTCTCCGGGGTGCTGAGAACGAGCTTCTCCGCTGATTGGACTATGCTAGAAACCTACTTCTTGTGGGATTTCTCGAGAGTGGAGCACGCACCACACACCCTCTTCAACAATTAAAGATAGGGAAAACCAGTAAAGACAACTAGCAGATGCAAGGAATCAGCAATGAAGGCTGATTCCCGTAGGAGAGAAAGTAAAACTAGTAGGCAAGGAATGATTGGCAATGAAGGCCAACCGATTTCATTCAAATTGCTTCAGCAGGAACAAAAGAAGTCTCAGATTGCAATGATACCATCTCTGAAATTGAAGAATATGCGTTATTATTATCTATTTCATATGGTACACGAATAAGTAGAGTGATCATTTTTATGAGTTATTCAGTAAATAGCTTTCTTCTTTGTTGGGCACGCAATCCAATACTAGGTTTGGTACCTAAATTCAGTGTGGTCAAAATCAACTGCATCTGCCATTGAGATGGGGTGAAAATAAGCCACTCGATGTGAGGCACTAGCTTGATGCGGCTAATGCAGTCATCATGCAAATTCATTAGTCTTGCCCAATTAACCTCACTTAAAATGGATATTCTAGTCAAATAACCTTATATGAACTAAATAATACCTACCAATTCAAGACGAACACCAAAAATAGAATTTGAGGTACCTGATGTTCCAGAAGCAAATGCATGTTCTAAAACTTGTACATAAGTGTGCATGCGTTAGTTTTCTCCCTTTACCCTAGTAATGATGGTTCAAGATAATTAACATTGGTAGAGCTAATTTTACTTCAGGTATAAAGATTAATAGAGGGTGATTGTCTGATAATCAGCACGATTAAATTATGATCACATAGTTTGGGAAACAACCTCTTTACAAATATGTAAGGGTAAGACTGTATACAAGGATTGCCCTCACCCCACCCTTGTTAGACGTGATTTTTTGAGGAGTGGTTTGTAGGGAAAATGGAAGGGCTTGAGTCTGATATGACTGCTTTGACAGCTATGGGTAATGCCCTATAATTATGAGTATCTTGTTTTCTTAATTTCAATTAGTTTTGCTTTGTTAAACCTGAAAGATAGAACTTCGTATTTTCTAATATCATGAGGGTCTGACCTCAGCTTAATTTCTTGTACTTTTGTCTGATAATTTTGTATTTAGCTCCATATGTTAGGAATTTGTTTTCATCTTCATTACTTTTCTCTTGTTAATGCCTTTTTTCTCATCTATTTATGAATTTAGGAAGGAAAAAACTGGTGTTGACCGTCTATCACTAAGACAAGCTGTCATATTCATTTGTGCCACAAATAGGCCAGATGAATTAGATCTTGAATTTGTTCGTCCTGGACGTATTGATCGTCGTCTTTACATTGGTTTGCCTGATGCAAAGCAAAGAGTCCAAATTTTTGGTGTGCATAGTTCTGGAAAGCAACTTGCAGAGGATGTGGATTTCAAAAAGGTAAATGGTTCATCTATCTTTGGTTGATTTCTCTCTCTCTTTTTTTTTTAAATGTACTCTTCAGTTGATTTCCTGGCTTTATCAAATAAATGCACACATCATCATATAGACGAATAGTGAAGTACATAAACATAGGCTAATGAAATCAAAAGGCACTTAATATAAATTAGACTTAGGTACTCACTTTATGAGAAAGACAAGAATGTGCCATTTTGAGAACAAGGCTGGATTAGTAGATTCAAACATGCTCTAGCTAGCTACAGCCAAAACAAAATGCAAATACTAATGGGCTGTTAAAATGTCAAACATTGAGCAATAGTGTAATGTAAACCGTAGACAATTTAGTTTCTTAGGAATTTCAGACTACTGTATACAGTGATGAAATTATGAGTCACATCTTGGTATTAGTATTCAATTCAACTTCCTAATGGTCAAAACAGAATCTGCTTCGAAAGTATCTTCCAAACAATTGCCATTAAGATGGAAAGGCTTTTTTTTTTTTCTCGTATTTATGTCTTCCTTCTTGTGTTTAGTCTATTCTATGAGTTAGTATGTGAGACTTGATCTTCTTTGTGCTGACTGTGGCTGCTCTCTTTCTTCCTGTCAACAGCTTGTCTTCCGCACTGTTGGATTCTCTGGAGCGGATATAAGAAACCTTGTCAATGAAGCAGCAATAATGTCGGTAGGTTGGTAGGTTGATGTTGCATGGACAGTTATAGCTACTGATCTTCAATTGATCAGCCTCTGCCCTGTGTACCTCTTGCATACACTAGTTCCCCTTGTGCCTTTCATTGTAAATTTTATCAGATAATAGAGAGGAAAATAAGATTAACCTACTATGGGTCGTAGATTATAATAGGCAGTAAAATCATTATGTCAATGTTGGTCACTTTGTATTTTTCTTTTTTCTTCTATGTTTAAGGAGGATAACATATCCTTTATAATTCTTCTTTGATTCGATAATTTTTTTCTTTTATAAAGAAACGTGTATAAGGGAATAAAACAGTATTGATTTCTTCTAATTAAAGAGCAAGAGCATTGATTCTCCTGATTGTTTATTTAATCAGTATTTTTACTCTTTCATTATTGCTGTTTGCCCCTTTCATCTACCTCCAATGATCACCCTTCTCTAGTAACCAGCATTGCAACTGTCTCAACCAATCCCTGCTTGCCTTAAAGTTTATGACCTTGTTGGTAATTATTCCTTGGTCTCTACAGGTTTGTGAGTAGATAATTTACCTTTATATTACCCTGAATCAGAAAAAAAAAATGGCAAAATCTCCTTGCTTTATTGAGCTGCTCTAAGTTCGAGTACAGTTTCGTGAATGGGTAGGCATTTGTTTGCACAACATTACTCTTAGAGCTGAGCCCTGCTTATTCCAGCATATGAGGTTCAGCACTACAAAATTTGTAGCTGCTTTTCTTGCATTCTTTCTCAATATATCTTTTTACTCAAATGTTTCTTAGCATAGAGGGGTTTATATTCAGTGGTAATTTTCAAATGAAAATAAAAAAGAATTAGATTTTGTGGATAATTTTAGAAACACAATTGAAAATCTTAATGTCATGTAATGTGTTTGTGTTAATCTGAATATTTTTGTGTTTTACATGGTAGTTATGTTGTGTCATGTTCTCATCTGTATGTTTTGAAATCCTTGCATTGCATTTTCGATATATTGTATTCATTTTGGCAATGATAATTGATAACATTTTTTTCTTGTTAATCTGGCAATAAGCTATGATAAAATTTGAAGCGATAGCTTTCATTTTCCCTTTGTTGTAATCATACAAAGTTGTTGGTTACAGGTGAGAAAAGGGCATTTCAAAATTTTCCAGGAAGACATTATTGATGTACTAGACAAACAACTGCTCGAGGGTATGGGTGTCCTTCTCACTGAGGAAGAGCAACAGAAGTGTGAAGAGAGCGTATGTCTCTATCTTTGGTAGCTCTTTTTACTGCGGATGTGACATAATAAACTATTTTGTATTGAATTTGTTACTGTACCATAGGTATCTTTTGAAAAGAAGAGACTGCTTGCTGTCCATGAAGCTGGTCATGTTTTGCTAGCTCACTTATTTCCTCGGTTTGACTGGCATGCATTTTCACAGCTCCTGCCTGGTGGTAAGGTATGAAATCTGGTTAGCAATATGCTAAATGATGTTGATTATCACTATTATTATTTTGGCTTTATTATGGAATTTCTGTTCCAATTAAGCAGGAAACTGCAATATCTGTATTCTACCCTCGAGAAGATATGGTAGACCAAGGTTATACAACATTTGGTTACATGAAGATGCAAATGGTAGTGGCTCATGGTGGACGATGTGCTGAACGTGTTGTATTCGGTGATAATATAACTGATGGAGGAAGAGATGATCTAGAAAAGATAACGAAGGTGATTGATATATCATTTTAGGATATATTTGCTACCTCAGGCAAATGATATTTGATGGAACTTACTTTTATAAATATGAAATTGCAGAAGACATAAATTGAGCCAAGCTCCTTACAATATAAAATACTAAAAATAAACCCAGAAATCTCAACTCCCAGAGATCCCTAATTTCTCCATAAGCCAATACTACATTACACACACTGTCTACCCTTTATCCTATACTTTAGAAAAATTCTAGAATAGTTTCCATAACAAACTAACTAATTCACTAACTTTCAAGCCCATGGCCCATCAATACTCTGATGGACCCGTAATACCTTTTAACAGACATTATTCAAGAAGGAGAACCAAAGCCCAAAGAAAAGGAGTCACTCAACAGGCCCAAACAAATGACAAGAGCCCAGGAGAAGGAAAAAGCAAGGTGGCGGAGCAAATGTGTTATAAACAGCTGGAAATGCAATCAGTTATAAACATGGCTACGTGGAGCAATGTGAATGGAGAGGGTCACATGGGAAAAGGAGCAGTGCTGAGCTGAAGGAGAATATGAGGGACGGTTAGGGAAAGAAGGACAGTATGCATTGTAGTGAGTGGTGGTAGCACCTGAACGTAGGGTTCAGAGTGGGTGGCAGAGCAAAGGGTTATGTAATCGGATGAGGGTTAAGGGTGTTACCAGGGAGCCTGTATTTGTGGAGGTTGCTGGTTATTTCTGATTAGAGTACGGATTGTTTATTTTCTTGTAAGGGCAGTGCCCATCCTAGTAAATAGGAGTTGGTTTCCTTAGTATTCTTATTGTAAGGGAATTATCCCAACCATCAATTAATGCAGAAGTTGTTATTTGAGTTATTTCATTGATTCAGTGAGTACCAAACTATTCTTAGATTATTGTTCTGTATCTGACAAAACTGGTGCCATTATACTCCCCCTCCAAAATTCACCTTGTCCTCAAGGTGAAGAGAGGACAAGTAAATTGAGAGAAACTTCCATCTAGATCCCATTGCTTAAAGGATGTTACTTTATTTTCCATGGCCTTTCTGTCAAATAAACTGTTTGGTAAGGTGAGGAGAAGTGTAATACCCGAGATGGCATGCGGTTGATAAGGTAAGTGGCTGTAAGAATAGCTTCCCCCCAATAATTTTTGGATGTATTTGAGGCAAAGAGTAGGCTACGAGCAACTTCAAGTAAATGGCGATTTTTTCTCTCAGATACACCGTTTTGTTGTGGGGTATTGACACAAGAGCTCTGGTGGATGATGCCATGGTCTTTTAGGTAAGCTGAAAGGTCCAAGTTAAAATAATCACGTGCATTGTCAGATCTAAGGGTAAGGATTTGGGTTTGAAATTGGGCAAGGATCATTTTGTGAAAGACTTTAAAGGTGGATGTGACTTCAGATTTATTGGCTAATAGGTACACCCATGTCATTCGAGTATGATCATCAATAAATGTGACAAACCAACGAGCACCCGTAAGGCTTTTAACAGTTGCAGGTCCCCACACATCACTGTGGATAATGGCAAATGGTTTAGAAGGAACATGCATTTGTAAGGGATAATGAGACCGAGTTTGTTTTGCAAGTTGACATATATCACATGAAGGAAAATTCGAATTCTCATTAAATAAAGAAGGGTACATCTTTTTCATATATTGAAAGTTTGGATGCCCTAATCTAAAATGCCATAAAAGAGCCTTATTCAAATTGCTAGTTGCTGCAAATGTGCTGTCTTGAGTCTTCATAACCGCGGCTGTGTAAAGTTGATATAAACCATTAGAGACCCTAGCACTGCCAATCGTCCTCCCCGATGCCAAATCCTGAAAAATACAATCAACGTGGGTAAATTTGACTGTGCACTTTAAATCCTTGGTCAATTTGGTAATAGAAATTAAATTGCAGGTAAGAGATGGAACGTAGAGAACTCCAGTTAAAGATATGGTTGACGATAGGTGAACAACACCAATTCCGTGAACCTTGGCTAAGCCTCCATTTGCTGTTTTTACTGATTTTGCCTCGAAAATGGGAAAGTATTCAGAAAGAAGAGAGGAATTACCAGTCATATGATCTGTAGCCCCAGAATCTACCATCCAGGAATCACATTTATCAAGATCGGATTGGAGAGCTGTATGGAATGTACCTGATTGATGACTATCAGATGAGGGATTAGATTTGTCCTTATTGCAATCTTGCAGCATGCGTTGTATGGCTATCACTTGTTCCCTTGTAAATGTATGGCCTTCGGATTTTGCTTGCGGAACATCTTCTACAACTGCAGCAACATGATTAAAGTCTCTGTTTTGTCTTGGCTTCCAATCAGCTGGCTTGCCATGGATTTTCCAGCATGTATCCCGAATATGCCCAGTTCTGTTGCAATGGTCACACCAGAGCTTACCATTTCGCCTAGGTCTGGAGTCTGCATTGTTGGGTCTAGAGACAAAGGCTGCTGCTTCCAAAGGTGCATCAACTTTTGGGATGCTATTGGTCAAAACTTTGCGGCTTTCTTCCCACTTTAATTCAGAAAAAACTTCTCGCAAGGATGGCAGAGGGCGAGTGGCCATGATGCGGCTGCGAGCTCCATCATAGATTGGATTGAGTCCCAAAAGAAGGTTGTAGGTGCGGTCTTGTTCAACAATTTTCTTATACTGAAGAGTATCGGCTGGAGTAGTCCATTCATGTTGATCATAAAGATCCAATTGTTGCCAGAATTTTAGGAGTGAATTATAATAGCTGGTGACATCCTTGTCCTCCTGTTTGAGATCACGAAGAATCCCCTTGATGTGAAACAAGGCAGCTGTGTTATCTTCCTTAGAGAAGGCTTCCTTCACGCCATCCCAAATTTCCTTGGCTGTGGAGCACAACATGTATGTTTCAGCTATTTCAGGCACCATGGAATTCAGCAACCAAGACATCACAAGGTTATTTTCAATGGACCACTTCTTGTATTGTGGATGACTGGTTTCCAGAGGAGCAGCATCACCCGTACCGGTGAGATGATCTCCCTTGCCACGGCCTCCAATGAACATACGAACGCTGCGTGACCACAACAAATAATTGTCTCCATTGAATCGATGACCAGTGATGACTAATGCTGGACTATCGTTGGTAATGACAGCTGCTGAGTTGTTGTTGGTTTGGTTTGATGCTGAAACATTGAGTGGGGTTGTTGTTGGAGTGGTATTTGTACCGGTGGTATTGGAAGAAGTAGTTTGGTAGGCTCTCATGGTGCCAAAGAGTGGCACATTGGTAGCCATGGGTGGATCAGTCCCTTAAAAATCAAGCTCTGATACCATATAGAAAGTTTGAATGATGGAACCAGTTTTTCCATTAAAACTAAAGGAAAAAAAACGTACAATAAATAGACACCAGAAATATTCCAGTGCAACAAATCCCTATAATCAGGGAAAGAGATAAAACTAGAAAACTGAATCCTATTTTAACTAAACAGGAAAAATATCAGAAACAAACTAATCCTAGGAATTTAAATAACAAATAACGAAACAAACTCCTAAGATTAAGGAGGAAAAATAAAACATTCTAGATGCTGAAAACTAGGGATTGCAACATAAACCAAGTCCAATTGTATTCTTAAGAAAAAGCCTTTCAGCCCACAAAACAAAAGCCTTACTTCCTTTCGTTTGTGCTGGGCCCATTAGGTCAAGAAATTGACCCAATTCTTGCAAGGCCAATTCTGCCTTTCCTCCCTCTCTCCCTCTCAGCACCTTCAACGTCAGATTGCCTTCACTTTTTCCTTCTACGATTTCTTCTCTCTCTGTAGCAGAATGGATGGGACCATGAGAAGGCTTGATGTTCATGTGCTTGTGAAGGAATCTCATGTACTTCCTCTCCTGCCTAACGAGTCCATTGGAGATACAAATTTCCTCACACCACTCAACCACCACCTTCTTCCCGTTGAGAAGTGTTGGTCCCAGATGAACTCAAGAGGGGGGTGAATTGAGTTTTATAAAAATAATTCGCTAATTAAAAATTAACTCAAAGCAATAAATCAAGATAAGGATAGAGAGATATTAACACAATAGTTTTTACATGGAAAACCCAAAAGGGAAGAAAAACCACGGGCCCTAAAATCGAATACTGAAATTCGACGGGAAACTCCACTATGAAACTTGTGTACAAAGAGTTCTCTAGTATCCTAGTTTCCTAGTCTACCCCTTACAACAATTCCCAAACTGGTATCCTAGTTTCCCAGTACGAAACCCTAACCCTATAGGATTCCGAAACCCTATCACACAAGGGTTCTCAACTTACTCTCAATTTCCAAGAAAAAGAGATGGTATCCCAGTTTCCCAGCACAAGAACTGGTATGCAAGTTTCCCAGCACAGACCTTCGAAAAGGTCAAGAAGAAATTTACAATTAAATGACTTACCTTAGTGCTTCTTTTCTTCAAGCATATAGGTAATTTGAATTCCTATGGAGAAATATTCACTTTGCCAAAGGATGAATGTATGAATGAATGTTCTTGAGAAAACTCTTCAATTGATGCACAAGAAAGAATCCTAATCTTGAAAATATAATTCTCTCTTTTCTTTCTTGTATATTCTTCTCTCTTCTCTCTCTTGTATTTTCTCTACAATGAAATAATATGCAATTAGCCCTATTTATAATAACATCTTAATCTATTATGCAATGCAATCCTAATCAAATCTTTGGCAAAGAATATTTTATTTCTCTTACATGAAATCTAAAAAGATAAAATCTTTCCTAATCTTTACTTGATTCCATGCTTTTATATATCTTCATGATATCTTTCATATCTTCTCTAATCTGCATGCAATCTTTAATTATCTTGAATATTGATCTCATGATATCTTCCATATCTTCTCCAATCTTCATGCAATCTTTAATTATCTTGAATACTATTTCAAATCAGAATAAATATTATTCTAAAAACTCAAACAATCAGCTCATTAGTGATTTCAAGACAATAAAATATTATCAATTAAATTAACATTATTGATTGTAATCATCAAAACTTATTTTAAATCAATTAAA